GAGAATTTAATTCTTCCATAACCCTAGAGATGAACACACACACACACCCCTTCATCTTCCTGTGCCACATATTCATAAGGTATGATTGGATTCTTCTGGGATACAGAAAAAGATGATGAATTTATGACCGCTTAAGATTTGGCCTATAACCACCTACAGTACTTGAAAGCATTCATGGGGGGGGGGGGAGAATTAGGAACATTTTATATCTTGTCATTATTACCTTGACAATCGTTTTATAGGCACATACAACTACCTGACATTTAGAAGACATCTGAAGTTTTTAATGTGTGACTGGGGAAATCCAGCCAGATGGGCAGGGTACAAATAATAAATTATTATTATTATTATTATTATTATACAAAAGGAGGGGGAAAGTGTTCTTTACTCCTTCCCTGAGAAGTAGACGAGCTGTGATTTTCTGAATTCCTGCAGACATCGTTACAGCAATCGCAAGCAAGACATGCGAATACAATTTTGCCAATAGCAGGGAGTTAGCTTCTGTCACATTTATTTTTGAAAGTTCTTCCTTCAGGCATTTCAATTTGAATTTATAAGATTGCAAAATATCCTCAGACTCCAGCTGTTTTCCTGTTTGTTTTCCAAAGGGAGCGTGTATAGATAGTAGCAAAATAACACGGATTGTGGGCTAGTCCTCCCCATTTTTCTTAATTTGATTACCACATGCTGTGTGCATGCATTATTTATTTATTTATTTATTTATTTATTTAGACATACAGTTTCTTACCTGCCCTTCCCCATAATGGTCTGGCATGTGCAATCCCTTCCCCAGTTTGAACAGTATTATCCCTCCACCAAGATCTGCTGGCTTTTCCTGGTTGGGGAATTCCATTTCCAGTGGGGGAGTCTCACCAGTGAGCAACATTTCAGTGTGCGCATCCAAACAGCTGGCAGTGGAATTCCCATTGATGGTAGCCAGAGGTCACCACTTGAATTGGGTTTTTCGGGAGGGAGGGGCCAGAACTGAGCTCACAGTTTCTGCTTGACCCTGAGCTAGCCCTGCAGCTATCACCTGATAGCAATCTGGGCCTCCTTGCTAGATCAACCTGGGAGCTGGTTTAGAAAAGAGTCATCCTTGTGCTCACTTTCCACTCCTTGGCACTCCATAAAACTAGTAAGCTTCAGGCCAGGGCTTTGGATTTCCCCCAGTGGTGCATATGATTAATTGAGTCAAACCATATGTGAACATATGTGAATATAGCAAGCTGCTAAGTGAAACCATTGGTCCATCTAGTTTAGTACTGTCTACACTTACTGGCAGTAGCTCTTAGAGGGGCTTCAGACAAGGGTCCCTCCCAGTCTTACCCAGAGATACCAAAAATTGAACATGGGACATTTGGCAGGTAAAGCAGATGAGTCACCATTGAGCCACAGCTCTTCTCCAGCTTTTTGGACAGTTACTTAAGTGGGTGGTGCTTCTTTTGTCAGAATACAGGTCTAAAGTCTTACTAAGCTTTTCACATCAAACCAACCCAGTAAATTGTCCCACCAATCCAGCAATTGGTGGATTGTGTAATATGCTCACCCATTATTTTAAAAAGAACAAAAGATAACTCTTCATTAAATAATAATAATAATAATAATAATAATAATAATAATAATAATAATAATTTTTTATTTATACCCCGCCCTCCCCCCAGCCAAGGCCGGGCTCAGAGTGGCTTACAAGCAATAATAAAAACAAGAAGAATGATTACAACTTAAAAACAAACATAAAATACAACATTAAAATAATGGAACATTAAAATATTAAAATGTAGCCTCATTGCAGGAGGAGAAGGAAAAGAAAAAAGAAAGAGAGGGAGGGAGGGAATCAAATTGGCTCCAAGCCAAAGGCCGGGCGGAACAACTCTGTCTTACAGGCCCTGTGGAAAGAAATCAGATCCTGCAGGGCCCTGGTCTCGTGAGGCAGAGCGTTCCACCAGGCCGGAGCCAGAGTTGAAAAGGCCCTGGCTCTGGTTGAAGCCAGTCTAACTTCCTTAGGGCCTGGGACCACTAGGGTGTTGCTATTTATGGACCTTGAGGCTCTCCGTGGGGCATACCAGGAGAGGTGGTCCCATAGGTACGAGGGTCCTAGGCCATGAAGGGCTTTAAAGGTAAAAAGCAGCACCTTAAATCTGACCCTGTACTCCACTGGGAGCCAGTGCAGCTTGAAAAGCACTGGGTAAATATGCTCCCATGGCAAAGACCCCATGAGGAACCTCGCTGCAGCATTCTGTACCCGCTGGAGTTTCTGGGACAGCTTCAAGGGCAGCCCCGCGTAGAGCGAATTACAGTAGTCAAGCCTGGAGATGACCGTCGCATGGATCACTGTGGCCAGGTCGGGGCGGGAAAGGTAAGGGACCAACTGCTTATATGAGAGATTTCAAATATGAGAGATTTCAAACTAAATCCACCAGGGATATTGCCTACTGAACAGAATGCATGACAATATGTGTTGGGCAATGCATATTCTGAGTTTTAAAATAAATATAGGCATGGTGTGATGGTTTTACTACAGGGACATCGACTAGAATTTGGGTAGATAGTGAATTTGGCCAATATTTGAGCGTTTGTGAGTGAATAATTTGGGTGGAGATGTTTTCAGTGAAGGTCTCTCCCTCATTTCTAACAGCTACCTCACCCCAAGCAACACCCCATAACCTAGGCCATAATCTAGCAAAGGGATGAGAAGCATGTGGCCATCCAGATGGTGTTAGAGTCCAGCTCCAACCATCCCTTAGCACTGGGCATGCTAGATGGGACTGACTGGAGTTGTAGACCAAAAACATGGGGAATTTCACAGTGTACCCATCCCTGATCTACCAGAACCCTGTCCAGTGACATTTTTCAAGAACCTCTGCTCTTCAAAAAATTCTTTGCTTCAATATGACTGCTCAGGAAATGTCCCTTGTTGATGGCATGACCTTATTTGACACCTGACATTCCTTAGAAGAATTGCATTTACACTTTCGGCAACCTTGGGAGCAAAAATAATTTCCCTTTATTGCAGGAAACAAATTATAACAGTATGAAATATGTCATAGAACATTTCACCCTTTAGGAAAGGTGACAGAATTTTAGAGTTTCTTGTTACCTATACCATACTTCCATTGTAGCACTTTGGCATTTAGATAATTTTTCAGATGGAGAAATTGGTTGAAAACGCAAGCTCTTGTCAGGCACAATTGTACTCTACATGGGAGTGGGGAGCAGGGTTTAGGAATAATGGATAATTTTGATTCAGTTTTAATGTTACTGAGTGCATAACTTGCACTTTCTGAAACAATATGCAAACACAAACACAGCCATCCTTTGCCATTTACATTTCTCTAAATTTTAGGGTACAGTTCTCCAACCAAATGATGTGCCCCAAACTGTGCATATTAAGCGAAAGTGAGCATACAATGTATCTAGCTGTGAAAATGGCATGAATATTATATATGCCTTATATTGGGAGGAACTGCTTGCAAAAATGAGTATATCAGGCAAAATTGCATACAAAAATGTGTATATAAAGAGAAATTTGCCCTAAAATGCTGGTAAGTTTTCATAAGGATTAGAGCAGGGGTAGGCAGCCCGGATGCGGCCCAATCGCCTTCTCAATCTGGCCTGTGGCCGGTCTGGGAATCAGCATGTTTTTACATGACTAGAATGTGTCCTTTTATTTAAAATGTATCTCTGGGTTATTTGTGGGGCCTGCCTGGTGTTTTTCCATGAGTAGAATGTATGCTTTTATTTAAAATGCATCTCTGGGTTATTTGTGGGGCCTTGGAATTTGTTCATATTTTTTTTTCAAAATATAGTCCGGTCCACCACATGGTCTGAGGGATGGTGGACCGGCCCATGGCTGAAAAAGGTTGCTGACCCCTGGACTAGAGCAACACGGGAACAGTAACAGTCAAACGAGACTACTACTTATCAATTAAAAAGATATTCTTAATTGGAGAGTAGGGTGCTTTGTTTGTTTAAGATAAATCACTCATGGTTATTAAATATTGATAGCCGGGAAGAAATGTGATAGAATAAAGAAAAGTTAAAAGGGAAAAAAATCATTTGTAGGTTGTTGGGAGAAACAGACATTAAGTACTGTCATTCTTACTCATCTCTAAGCTTCTGAACTCCCTAAGATCTTAAATATCAGTTTTATGTTAGATGTTTAAAAATAATCTGACTGTAATTTGATGTGCATTATCTTGTGAGCGCAAAAGCCTTCAGTTGGTTTATTTAAAAAAAGGCGATGTTTACATCCTTTGTATTGTTCTGAATGTCACGTTCAAAGTAATGTGCGATTCCTGCACCCTAAACAACATAAATATAAGGAGTAAAGTTGGTTGGTTGGTTGGTTAGATTGATGGATGGATGGAAGCATTGGTACTTCCCGTTATTCTGTTCTATCTCTTCCAAATATCCTTTTTTTTTCTCTATGAAAAATATGAAATATAGATGTTAGAGAGAGTATCAGAATTGTACACACAACCAATACATGAGAGTGTCAGACTGAATATATTAAAGTGAATCTTACTCTTTCTTATAAAATACAGTTGTTTTATATAGTATCATCTTTGACAGGGATGTAGAACCCTTCTTTTCAGCCTGAAGGCTGTATTGCCTAATGGACAATGCAGTTCTTTAGCCATGTAATGTATACAAAAATGAATATGCTAGGGTAAAGTATAAATAAAATGTAATGTGAATATAATAATAAAAATAACAATGTGAAATGTCTTGTATTACGGAAAATTGCTCTGCAAAGTATGCATATTAGGAAAAATTGTGTACACACATGTGTGTACATTAGGATAAATGTACACTTCCAAAAAACTGATGTAGAAATGTGGAGAACTGGGGGGTGGGAAGAGAAATGGAGAGAAAACAAAATTGGCAGATCTGTTCATCCTGATAGGTACCAGGGCAGAACACATTTCATCAGTTGGTTATAGTCAACAACAACCTGGGAACACTGCTGGAACAATATGGTTTTCTTTTCTCCTCTGCAGTCGCAGCGCCGAGTTACATTTCACCTGCCGGATGGTTCTCAGGAAAGCTGCAGTGACAGTGGGCTAGGAGACCATGAGCCCAGCAGCACCGCTAGCACAGCACATCCTCTGCCACTTGGTTTCCCGCAAGAGGAGTACTATGAGCAGACATCACCCAACAGTCGGACAGAGGGAGATGGCAATTCAGATCCAGAGTCCAGTAAGTCTGTTGCATCATGGGCATTTGTCACTCTAGGGAATTCATGGGTCCAAAATGAGCATCCAGTGTATAGTGACAATTTATTCTGATTCAAATAGTATTTGTTTTGTTGCACCTGAAAGGACAAAGGTCATCATTTTGTCCATGGCTGAAGGGCCTTGTAGTAATATTTTCTGAGCTGCATTTTGAGATTCAGATGATGAATCCATACGGGCCAAACTGGCGGTATTTAGGATGCAGCAACCCAGCTCTTGGAGGAAGGCCCTATGTGGAAAAGCAGGATAGAAATCAGGACCAGAAGACCTGTGGGGTCTAAGCTAATAAGTGCCTTAGAGAATAGTAAACACGGAGCAGTAGCTGTCTTTGAGTGCTTCTTTTTTAATTTCAGTGTATGTTTCATTGTTTGGGTAAAATACAAAGACAGGCTTTTCATATGACTGGGCAATTGAAGGGCCTATAAAGAGTTTGCAAAAAGATGAAAAATGCAGCTGAGGCAGAAATTAATAATGAAATTAAATCACACTTGCTGTTTGCTTCTTAAAGGGCATGCTACTATTTACGGGGTGATTTTTTTTAGGTTGTTGTATAAGTTCAGAGAGATATATCCAGGCTGGCATTGATCCAGCAAAGCAAATTGTAAGTTTGTAGTTTTATTTTTATTTTTAATGTTCATGGACTATTATGGAATAATAACTCTACAGTTATAGAATTGGTTTTATTTCTTTGGTTTTGGGCCTGTTATCTTTTGTATTTGATTTTTTTTAATTGCATGCTGCTTTGGTACCTTTTAGTTGGAAAACGTTTTATAAATCTGCAGATAAATAATATCAATCAATCAATCAATCATTAAGGGAGGAAAAACTCATGAGAGGAGACAGCAGCAACAAACATGTTAGTTCCAGCCACACATTGGAGGGAAGCCTCCAGTGCTCATGTTTCACAACAAGTTCTAAAGTATGCAGGAAGTCTCCATGAGTACAGGAGTACCACTTCAAGAGAGTGCACAGGTTGGATGGTAACAGAGACAGCTTGTAACCCCCTCACATTTACTTAAAACTTAATGGTCAATCCAGAAAACGGCTGTGTTTTCAGCTTAAACCGAGATTGGAGCAGTTGTTGCCATTTGGGATGCCTTTTCTGATTCTTCCCCCCAACTTAGGGAGGGGTATTTGTCCCATTTGAAACAGCTGCAATGTCAGTTTGATCCTAATGATATATACTTTGATAAGCAGTGGCACACATCACTACCTCATGGCTGATGTGGTGATAGATGTGTCTTCGGATGTGAGAAGTTTGCAAGGAGGTTGGACTCACCTATTTTTCTTAGATGACTAATTATCTGACAGCTCAAGTTGAAATCCAATACCAAGAATAATTAGTGTTCTGCAGTGTGGAGATGTATACCCCAACTAATGTGATTTCGACTTCAATAGCTGTGCTTTGACGTATGCAATTGATGTCGTGTCCTCTGATGTTTGTAGTTTTCAACCATGTCTGGGATTCTTTACTGTGATGTAGCTCTTTAGTGATTCTACTCTCACACAAAAATATGTTCAGGATGTTCACAATACACCCTCATCAGATGAGTATGATATATGAAATGTTTTCCATAGAAACAAGAACTAGAATCATAGAGCTGTTTTGTGGCAGATATACTTTTTTTCAACTGAATGCTTGAGTGAACTGAACTTGAATGTGGATAATTGAACCTGAGACTGTATACATGCAAATCATCAAACTGTAGCCACTCCTAATTTGCACTGGCAGCTGGCAAAATTGGACTATATCCAGTGAGTTAAATTTAACTAGCAACTAGAAGAATAACACAGCTAACTTTCTAGGGGGGTGGTGTGAGTGAATGAGAAAGAATTAACTGAACTTTAAAAGTGCAGTACATAGAAAAAAAGAGTTCATGTGAGTTGTGTGTCGAGGTCCCCAGGTCCACCCCAATAACTCACACATCACACAGAAGTTTTTGTTTAAGATTTTTGGCATAATTTTGGCCACAACTTTATTAAAATACAAATTTGTGAGTGGTTGCGTAGGCATTGGTTGCGACTATCTGCCCCCACCATGGGGGACAGACTGACATTCCGCACGATGCGAAAGTCAGAATGGGGGAATACACTTGGGGGTTACGCGGAGCAGGGAACCTGCCCTCACCCCAAATGCAACCAGGAGCTCATTGCTATGGCCCGAGCCCCCTTGACAGAGTGGACAAGCAATAGTTAGCTCCCAATTCCTTTAACGGAATCCCTTGCAGCAGCAGCATTAGAGGGGCAGGCACAGCCAATCCATGCCCCTCAACCAACCAAACCATAAACCAATGCCTAACCGCGAACCTTACAAGTTGTGACGATTTGCTACGCAGTAGGCAAAAACCAAATGGCCCCAGCCAATCAGCCAGATGGACAAAATTCCTACCAGGCCCCCGCTCCAAAGCAGACGACCCCATGACAGGCATAGCAAGGTCAAAGCGAACAACCCTATTCTAGGGAGGGAGGGACGGGCAATCTGATGCACGGGCGAAAGAGGAAGCCCTAGCCTCGTGCAAGGAGTTTTACTATTTCTGGCTGTCAATCAATAAATGGCAACATTAACTTCTTCCCAACAACAAGGGAAGCCCCAATCGCATCAGTGGCCAACGATCAATTAGCCCGCCCCCCAACTTTGGAGTGTCCTGGCGGCCCCCACCGCAACACGTGCTCTCCATGAAGGAGAACACGCTTTATCAAACATTTAACTTTTACTTTTTTTAAAAAAAGAGACTTGGACAAGTGTTACTTCTGTATGCATGCTGTATGGAGTTCTTTCATTTATTTTATTGAACAAAATTTATTTGCTGTTTGATTATAATAAAACCTTCAAACAGTTTATAGAAAATAAAACGCAAAAGTTATCAATAAAATGCTGTTAAAAACAAGCATTTAATGATTTGAAATATCATTAAAGTCAACAATATACTAAAAATAAATGTGTTTTACATGTGCTTCTACCAGGAAGGAGTCTTAAACTTCTACCAAGCAGGAGTGTACTTGGTGTCAATAGACATGAAGTTCCAAGGTATAGGGTTTGTAGCCAGTTTTGGAATGTTATCATAGATTAAATTACTCTGGCCAGGTTGTAGATGGGGCTTATGTCAGTCACATGGCATTTGGGGAGTTTGCCCAGTGTTTATAAAGGAAATCTCCTTGAGCTTTTAATCATTTGGTCTGGCAGTTTACCTAAATTTGCCCTTTGTGGAGTAGTTCAGAGACTTCTGGGCTTCCTTGTTCTTAAGGCTTGTTAGCTTCCCTAAACTGTGATTTCAAAATCACTGCTTTTCATAGTTCTGTCCAAATAATGATTGGAGCAGAGCAATGGGATTAACAATTTAGTAGAGTTTGTGATTTCTGTCAACCAGATAAACGAAATCTTATCCCTTGTCAAAAAAGACTTTGATATGAAAATGAAAACGACAAAGTATGCAATATAAAATGGTGTTTCAGACTTGAAAAAGTAGGTGTGCCAGGGCTAATTCTCTATCATCTATCTATCTATCATCTATCTATCTAATTTTTAATTAGCATTTTTCAATATAGAATAATAAAACTGTGTGTACAAAACCATAACATAGCCATAAAATAAACAAAAAATGAGCCATAGCTCACCAATAAGGATATATGTTCTTGCCCCTTTTAAGTTCAGATTGAGAAATAAAGCTGCATCAAATGTTTACGATTTTAAGGATAATAATAATGTACTCAAAGTACTCAACTTTTTTGAAAAAATGACACTGAAGTTCTACAACATTTAATGCTCAAAAAACAGTATATTTTAACCAAGAGGTAGACTCTGTCACTGGGTTATAGAAAAATATATATACTGTGTGTGTGTTCTGTGTGTGTGTATATCCACCTATGTTGATGTCCACTTGTGGGTTCTTCCATAACTCTACTGATTTTTCCCATCTTCAAAGTGGTATGCTAATAATTAATTTGCAGAGGGGCAGAGTAATTAATCTTAGCAAGACAGTACTGCATGATTGATCTTCTACCTTTAATCTAATTAGCCTGCACATAGGTGGGAGAATGTAATAGCTGAACACTTTACTATAAGGCTTTGAGAAAAGTCAACCCTTTTTTTGATGACCCGCTGAGACCATTCCCATACATCACTTCTTGGGTAGTCATTAGTTGCATGTTTGAATTAAAAGGTGAGGAAACTGGGGAAGATCAAAAAACCCAGAGTAGGTTGAACATTCTCATTTTAAATGAGTCAGTCCTTTTGTACACTCTTAATAATGTATGATTATATCTTGATAGCATCAGATTTGGTTTGGTAGTAGTGGCCATAACAGCCATAGGTGAAAATCAAAGCAGCAAATATTTTAGATGTGCCAAACTTTCATATCATAGGGGAAGATTCAAGAAACAGTTCTTTGATGTTCACAAAACTTCACAAATGAAGGCTGGCACTAAATTAAATTTCACTGTTTGATGCAGCATCCTATGCTTGGCCTACAATAGTTCAGCTCGTGGATTGCCCAGGCAGGTGCATTATGTGACCCGTGAGAGCAGCAAAATAACTTGCACAATGGTGATGAAATAAAATCAGGCCAAATATTTATTGAGAGCAGCAGACAGGGCAAGGGTTGCAATGGCATTATGTCCCAGGATCAGTTCATCATTCCACAAACCCTATGTTGATGGAATGGATCCGCTGGGTTTGGAGCACTCCAAACCTGCATGATGGGAGTCAGCCAGTGTGGAACTTTGCCGTGGTGCAAGCCAAGCAAGCAAGGTCTCACTGGGAGACCAGGGTGCAGATTCACACCAGGCAGATACCGAAGACACGCTTGCAGTTGCTGTGGTCAATGCTCCCCTCAGGCTCCTTATGGGGAGCCCCCTATACTATGATGATCCTATCAAATGCCATTTCCACCCTCATGCAAACTATGTTCTTCCGCCTAACAAAGGAAAACTATAATTTCACTGAGGGGAAGGCGGAAGAAACCCTCA